ATGATGGTTCTACCCATCTTTACCGAGTTCCTTCATAGAACGTATGGATGGAGAGGAACCGTAGCCATCCTTGGAGCAATCAGTCTGCATACTTCCATTCTTGTGTTATGGATGGGAGAACCAGCTGCAAAGGATGGTGTAGATAGTCAAGACGTGAGACGCCAACCAGAGGAACATATCTCTGCCGTCATTCTAAACGAGGAACACAACGTAAGTTCCGGAAGTGACGTAGAACAATCTCCATTAGAACATCTACTGGACAGAGGGACTGTAAGTTCTTTGGACAGGACTCAAGTACGTCTGGAATCTCTGCAATACGTATGTTCTAAGCTGTGCTCCAACATTACAGGGTGTCTTCACGAAACCTGGAAGCACTTCGGTCTGTCAATCCTGACCGAGCTACCTTATACTTTGGTTCTTAACGCTGGGTTCTTGGTGATAAGTCTTGTGAACACGGCGTGGGTGATCTACCTGATTCCTCACGGTGTCTCCAAAGGATTCCCACTCTCCCAAGCCGTCTTCTTGGCTCTCTACGGCAGCATCGGCCAATGTATAGGTCGTGTAGGACAGGGGCTTTTAGTAGACCGCAACTGGGTCACATCTGTTGAACTGACTATCATTTGTTCAATCGTCGGCGCCTTCACCCTATGCCTGGATCCACTGTTCCATAACTTTGAGATTATCTGCACCCTGGCTTTCATCGGCGGACTCGTGAATGGTGCAAGAGTTTCCCTTACCGTGGTCATCGTGAAACAGTTCATCCCACGTGAACGATTCAAGCATGGCTACTCTTTAAACTGCTTGTTTTTCGGCGTCGGAGAACCACTTGGAGGAATCGTAGCAGGTATTCTTCATTTAATTGGTAGTCAATGTTAATTTCATTGCCATCATGATTAAAGGCACCACAGCGTTATCACAAATAAACAATGCGTTTTGTTATCCATAATGATTGTAATTATTTTGAGTAATAGGTTTAACAAATCGTTTAGAGGGTTTGGTAGGTAACGCCCGTAGCACACTTTAATGTCGTCATTCTGCTGGCCGACGTGATCTGTGACTCCTCATGCAAGAGTGATATCTTCCGTAGACACCTGAGCGATGGAAAAATCGCTTCCATGGCTTCATTAGCACATGTAATGGCTCGATGAGGGGTACGTAGAAGTGGCGGGGTCGAGTGGATACGTCACCGGACTGTCGATCACAAGGTCTGCAGTTCGAGTCCGGCCGCGGCATCAATGTCCTTTTGCAAAACATTGAACTACACTTGCCACACTCAACCCAGGTGATGTAAATGGGAACCGGACAGGAATAAATTCTTTGAAATGTTAGAGCGCCGTAATGGCCACCTTTCTAAAGCAAGGGTAATAATCAGGGCAGCGCCAGGAGCGTCACGAAGTAACAGACATGTGTGCTATTGTAAGAAACCATTATTATTATTATAAAAGTTTTTATTCTATAAAAAATATATCTTCTTATTTGTCACCAGGTTACGTCGCTAATGCGTTCAGCTTTGACATCGCTTATGAGGTCCTCGGGAGCTTTGAAATCCTTTTATCTTTTGCATTGATAACAACAAACTACTTCATAACCAGAACGGATACGACAACGGATGATATATGATGGTAACAAAATCCAAGGCACGTGGAGATTCCACATCTCCAGTACGAGGTCAACGAAGAATAATGGTACGCCCGAATCTTTCGTCCGTCATCGTGGTCGTATACATGCAGATGGCAGACACAGACGCAGCCTCTTTAATGCAGAGGTACAGAGAACAAGCGCAAGGTTTATTATTTCTCAGGGAAATCGGCATTAACGGAGGGGGGGGGGGCGTGCAAGTGAATTATGATACCGCCATCCTAGTCAAGGCCGCCATCCTAGTCAAGCTTCGCTTATGATTGCGGTCTCCTGCACTTTTTTCAACTGATAGTTTGGATAATACTTTAAATTTATAATAATGTTAAGTTTCGTTATTAAATGTACATATGTAAAAAAAAAAAAAAAAAAAAATGACATGAAGTTATCATTGTATGTATATTTTGTATTATACCTTACGTTTATAATTATGTTCTTTGTTATTTCGTTGTTATATAAATTGAATTTGTTTCTTCCTTCTATCACCTGATCTCAAAAATTGGTCACGTGACCGACGACAGCACAGTCGTGAAAAAACCGAAAGCACTGCCGCAAAGGGAACGGACGTGAGCTGCACAACGTCTCCACGCTCCAGTACCTCGTAGTAGCCGACGTCGGGTGCCTAAATCGACAGCTCGCTTATGTAGCGAGCTTTCGATTTAGGCACCCGACAACAATACAATTATACCCACCCCGAGATATCAACACGGATGAATGTTTGTCTTTGTATTGCAAGGAATCTTTTTACTTTGAACTATAATTATTCTAAAAATAAACACAACTAAATGTACTACGTCAAGGTCGCGTGAGCAAAAGATGTACAAAAGAATAAGAGCGGTTTCGCAAGAAGGTTTTAATTAGGGATTCCCCTTCTGTTTTTGTGACAAATCGTAGTACTATTCATGATCAAAAGACTTAACCTGAGAGAGAAGGAAAGAGAAGGAGAGAGAAGGAGAGAGAGAGAGAGAGAGACATAGACATCCAGAGACAGATACACAGACAGACAGAGACAGATAGAAAAGAATATAGCTAGAATGTGCATGCATGTATGTTTATGCACACTAAGCTCATCGTAATATCGTCGCAGTTTCCATTACACGACAGTGCGCTTGGTTTCTCTGCAGGAGCTTCTTATCATTCTTATGCATATCATATATGGGCTATATACTTGAGAAACACGTCAAGCGCTTTGAGAGAAATTAATGAGGTAAGTTTTGTGAATTTACCGTACTTCATCGATATCCATGCTCTAGATCTCTAAATTCAATTTATTTTGATAACATTGGGCAGTCACTGGATGACTACTTCCTGGTATTGATAAGACGATTTTTTAAAAAAATTTTTTTTTTTTTTTTTTGGGGGGGGGGAGGGGATTTATTCAAACAATTACAAAATTAAACGACAACTTTTGCCTTACACTAAAAAGGCCGGGCTATTTGAGGTCTTAGTACGGCCGGGGTGCATTATATAGGCCTATGGTCCTCCTTAAGATCTCGGCCGTGAAACAAGCTACGATTATTGATATATCTACAGATTCAATTTTCTGGAAAATAATAAGATTGAAACCTATAACAATTAATTAATAAGACCATCTACTCCATGAAATGAATTGTTAAACTGGTACTTGTGATTTACAGTAAATAAAACATGAAATTGATGAAGTCTGTCAGAAAGAAAAGGAAAAAGACAGTTGCAATTTATTCCGGAAGTAAATGAAATGAAATTGCTTCTCTACAAATCGAAATGCCTCAAGAACAGAAACAATAAAGGAGGTGGTTGTCGTATTTGTGTTAATATCAAAGATTTAAGTCATTGGAAATTTCTGATAAGTATTGCCATGTCTAGTAGTTAAGACAAAACTGATGTAACATGTATGAAATTTGTTTATTTGAAGAAAAAAACAGTGATAATCTCCTGGGGGTGTTTCACAAAGATCCTATTAAAGTCAAACTTAACTCTAAGTTGGACTTAAAAATTATGGAGAGCCAGTTGTAGCCTTAAAATAAATATATTCAAAAGCGAAAATTAAAGTATTTTAGACTCTTCATAAATTCCACATCAAGAACATGAAGTCTCCTTGATAATAGAAAATAAGAATGATTTGAATCAACATTTTTTTTTAAATTAATTACTTTTATTAGTGCCTATGTGATTATCACCATGGACCTATTACGAACCATGATATCACAAATATAAGTATCGAAAGTAGTAGTCTCTTAATTACTCTGTGCATAGAGTGGGGGAGGGGCATGGGTGTCGATCTGTAATTGATACCTATTGTTCAGGGGGATGATCTATTCATTCATCCCCCTGAACAATAGGTATTACGTAAGGATCGACACCCATGGGGAGGGGGACGACTTCTAGTCATACATTGTAAAATACTAATGTGGAAGGGAGTGGGTAATGTAAACGGATCACGAACTACTCGTCCATTTTTGTGTTTTACCTGTATTAATACAAGTATATTTTAGCTGAACTATGTATGGTAATCAAAAGTCTAATACTGTTCTTGCATTCGCTTTGTTTCATGTATTGTAACATTTTACTATTCATTAATTTGTTTATTGCTGTGACATTATCATTTGTTTGCAATATGTAATACAGAGCTCTGTTGCAAAACATTTTTTTTTTATGTACTGAAAATACTACCTTGTATAAAGAAAACAGAATAAACGAATATGTAACAAAATCATAAACAAGTGAATAAATGGATACAGATTATGAATGGGTGGTGTATGTTATTGTTTTATTTCATTTGATTACATTTAATGTTATCAATATTACCCCCCCCCCCAAAAAAAAAAAAAAAAAAAAAAAAAAAAATGTATTTCAGTATAACAAACTTGGATGATTGGAGTTAATAAATTTTAGTAACATCAATTCAAGGTTGGGCCCTTTCAATACCCCATTTGTGACAAATCAAAACCAACCATTGAGAGTAATCAATGAATGATAAATAACCTGCATCAATATTGATGTGCATTGTGGACATTTTGTGAACTATTTTTTTCAACCCTACAACGGTTTTGTGCTTCAAAGTATAGGCCCCTGTCTATATTTTGTAGAGGTGTCTAGTGGCTACGTCACCGGACTGTGGATCACATGCATGGTTAGCGGTTCCAGTCCCACTAAGGCATTAATGTTCTTGAGCAAGATATGATTGTACATTTGCCTCCCTCCACCCAGGTGTAGTGAATGAGTACCTGGGAGGAATCCATTCCTTGACTGCTTTTAGCGCCTTGTCCTTGAATTCTTTTAAGGGCCTTAGAGCAGCTGGGCTTAAGCCAGGTGTGTGTTTGTATTAGGTTTTTACAGACGTGTATCAATCAGATATGATTATTTACGTCTGTGGACTGACCTTTAAACGTCACTATCCGAGAGACGTGACTCAGCTTCGAACAACCGTCTTCGGCCGAATCCGTTTGTAACTTATGACAGCTGGATTACAGGCGCACGCCACAACGCCAGGTATATTACTTCTGCTTTATAGGCGCCTTGACCATACCCATTGGATGGGTAATATGCAGGATATAAAATGTCGCTATTATTATATATTTACTTGATTTATTTTCTCTCTGCATTAAGATGATGACAACTGTGAACTATAATCTGGTGGTCTTCATCTTAACGATGCTCAATTCTATGCTTGGTAAGTACAACAAACATAGGCCAATAATAATAGAAAGAGAGAAAGAAAGAAAGAAGGAGAAGAAGAAGAGAAGAAAAAGAAGAAAAAGAAGAAGAAGAAGAAGGAAGAAGAAGAAGAAGAAGAAGAAGAAGAAGAGGAAGAAGAAGAGGAAGAAGAAGAGGAGACGGAGAAGAAAAAGAAGAAGAAGAAGAGGAAAAGAATATGAAGAAGAACTAGATTTTAATTCGTCACGAGGACGAATAAGGTGGTCTGCCTTCAAGTTATATAGACATGTAAACAATGATGATCATGATGATGATCATGATGATGATGATCTTGATAGTAATGGTGATGACGATGATGATGATCATCACGATCATGATGATGTTGATGATCATCATCAACAGACCATGATGACATCAGACTGAACAAAATGAGAGAACTTTGAGCTAGTATATAGTCTCAGCTACAACATACTCAAAAATCAACAAAAATCAAGCCGAAATAACGGCGATATTGCTCGCAAAAGACAAGAATGTAGAATCCAGATTTGAGAAAAAGTCATCTCCCATAAGGATTACACGCAAAAAGTAATGGATCAAGTGATAATAGGGTAATAATAAAGTAAATATGGTTGTTTATTACATTATTTGCGATTCTACGTGTTTTAATATTCAAAGGAGATGGTACAGTGAAAGGTCAAAAAGAAAAAAAAGTGAAGAAGACAAATTGTTGGAGACGCCCGGACTCGAACCAGGGACCTCGAGGTCGGAAGTCAAGTGCGTTACCGATATACCAAAACATTTCACATAGAGATTACACGTAAACGGAAAATGAAATTCTCTAATGCCACTTTGTAAGTGAAATATGAGCATGATCCCGGCATCTGATCGAAAAATAAAGGGCACACTTGTGATAGCTTATTGTCTCAGCTACAACATACTCAAAGCTCAGCCTTAACAAAAAAAAAAACGACGGAGATATTGCTCGCGAAAGACGAGAATGTAGAATCCAGTTTTGAGAAAAAGTCATGTCCCATAGAGAATCCACGCAAAATGTGAAAAATTGACATGCCTCCTTTAATCGCAAAAATACGCCATGATGCCTTTGTCAAAATGAAATATCGTGGTGACTGCATTTGTAGAGAATATTCTAAGGTAGAACATATTAAAATTTGAAAGAAAATTGATCAATATTTACAAAGATACAATCAATTTTCCAAAAATATTCTGACGGCATAATATGCAAATTGAAATTATGAGTTTGGAGGCCATTATGATGACGTCATGAGTTAATTGAGGGTCAAATGACACATGAAATCATATCTCCAACTCATGCTTTTTCCAACCATGATATAAAAGTTGGAGTCAATTGACTTTCTGAAGAGCTATTTTGATTTTTAAAATGGGATGTTTTTGATCAAATTTGCATTATATTGCCCATAGCAGCCCGCGCGGATTTTGAACTTTGACGCGCGCTCACGGCCTTATAAAAGGTCAAGAGTGACTGAAATTAATGTAAATTGTCATTTACGGTAAGAGGAATCTAAATCATGTAAAAAAAAATGAATTTGACCTTTTCCGCGCGTTGTGAGCGCGCGCAACGCGCGCGTGGACACATACGGACGGAAAATTTTGAAATGCTTAAAATGACCTAATTCGTACTCTCCTTTAATAGTAAAGTGATTTTGAGCATTTTTAAATTTTGACGCGCACGTACGCGCGCGTCATGACCTTTATGTGACCTATGATGACATGACCTTTTGACCCTTGACCTGAAATATATGTGATATGGATATGAATGACCTTTGCTTATGCATCATGAAGATATGATGGATAACGTGATTTCACAAAATGGCGCCTGGATGACGTCACGATGACGTGATGACCTTGAAAAGGTTCCTGCCACGTCTCATGACAATGACCTATGACTGTGCCAAAATTGAATGAAATTGACGAAACCGAACTTGAGTTATCCTAGGCACAAAAAAGTGTAGGAAATAAATAAAAATAAAGAATAATAATAATAATAAAGAAAATTCTGACGAAAACAATAGGTGATCTGTTTTCAACAGACCACCTAAAAAAAAAGACAAGAAAGAAGAATAGGAAAAAGAAGAAGAAGAAGTAGGCTACAACAGCAATTTTTTTTTACACGAAATGAAAAGCACTTGAGCTTACATATTCGGGCACCGTGCTGCCCGAATCAGCGGTGCCACGATGCTTGGTGGTTACAAATCCTCGGGGGTGCATCAGGCCCTAGCCCCCCCCCCCCCCCCCTCGAGTCGTACGTCTAGATTTAGATTGGTTGTGTCCCCCATAGCATATTCTACCCCAATATTTATATATTTTTAAAAAATTATTTTCATAACTTTGCACAAGGTTGTGTGCACGCTAGGCCTAATCACGCGGATGGTATAGAGAGTGATCTTGTGCCACAAGTCGCTACAACCCGGGCTACAACAAAGATGTCACTGGATGATGGCCTCCCAATGGACTTCGAACCCACCCCTATTTTTAACGAAGGTAGGCTATGTTCGATTTGCTCTTGTTATAAACGCTTTTGTAAACAAGTTTACATGCATAACGAGGGGGGGGGGGGGGGGAGGGAAAAATGCAGTACAATTTTCAGTTTTCTCGTGTAAATTGGTTACAAATTTAGTAAATTGATTGATAGATTCATTTATTTAGAACACGATTTATAAAAAAAGAACAAACAAAATTAATGTTCAGCAACTAGGCTGGTTTACAAAAGGGCCGTGAAACGAACAAAATAAATATCAAATGCAAATACAAATAAAATCAAAACAATACAAACAAACCATATAAATTATTGAATATTACAACAGCTGGAGCATAAATTGATGTATAGTTATGATGATAGATGTTAGAGTTTTAAAAGAAATTGCTAAGTTTAAATTGCGCATCCTCATTGGTGGAACCTGGTACCGATCGGGGTGCAAAGTTTATCATGTTCATGAGGTGTCCATTGGCCGTTCGGTAGTACAGAGAGGAATAAATGCAGCAGTTTAACCATAAACACAAATGTTCGTACTAATACTTTATATAGCTAGGGCCTGTTTTCATTGAATCAAATTCATTTAGAGCCGACCCTGGACTTTACAAATCGAGAACTTAGACCTCAGACAGTATACTCAATAATTGTTAAACCCCGAATTTGAACAAACGCCTAAAGGACAATCCAAACTTTGTATCAAATTCATTTTCATGAAAGCAAAAAAGTAATAGAAACAGAAAGTAGAAAGGAAAGTAAAAAGACAACCCCCCCCCAAAAAAAAAAGTGAAAGAAGCTAGCTTAGCTCATAAATGATTTACATTGGTAATGTCTTTAGGGGAATAAGATCTGGAGCATTTTTGTTAGGGTGGAGTTTAGCAGATCTGAAAAAATCATTTACAAAAATATTTAAAAAATCTATGAAATATATTTAGATGTTTCAACCGACCTTTAACTATAATATGGGCCGCAGAGACCAGCACAAGGAGATTGATGGAGATCTAAGGGATTGCAAAGTAATGACATAAAAAGCAACGCCCTTCTATTTATTTCTATCACTTCTAAATCATACACAGATGCTGAAAATTTTTGGGAAAGCTGCAAGTTTCCTCGGTGCGTTTTTATGGATGAGGAGACGGGTTCGGTAATATTACATTTAGTCACTTTATTTTTATATCTAATTACAAAATACTATTCAATGGTTCATCGCTGCCACCATGTGTCATTTGATTGCTATATGAAATGAGGAAGTCATAAATAATAACATCTCTAACGGTGATATACTGTGCCAAACTTTAAATTTGCCTTACTGCATGCATATTCAGTCATATTGGAGGCAAGCACTGATTGGAGGTAGTATAGCATTGATTAGGGGAGTTTGGCCAACCCGGTTCGAGTTAGCCACAAAATGGCGACTACTGCTTTGTTGGACAATCACAAAACAAAAGTATAAACGCCATGTTGTGACCGAGTGAAACCAAGTTGGCCAAACTCTGTGTATGGATGGCTCTGATTGGAGGTAGTGTCCCTTCATAGATTGGAGGGGTTCTCTAGCGCCCTCTCTCAGTATAAACATTATAGTCTCAACTTGTAGATCACATAAACAGAATGTTGGCACACATATTAATTATGATACCCTTATCAAGGGCAATTGGGACAAATATAAAACCTGTTTTTAAACCGTGGGTGTAACAAAGTCTAAAATGATTAATACATTTCGTAATAAAGAATGGCAGTCAACTATACTCAACAGTCATCATTATTCAATGGGCTTACCTCGGACCTGAATTTTGACTTCATTGATTTTAATAGAGTATAACTTTTCCTTCAATTTGATCATCATCAAAAGTGATCTGTCAGTACTGTTTATGACAGTTTCAGTGACCCAATCAGAATTCTATATCAAGTGTCTCTCCAAGTACCTCCGTCTTGAGCCATCCGCTTCAGCGTTTCATACCCTGTTGCTCCACATTCTGTGATTAAATCATCTAGAAAGCCTTTGCGAGGTCTTCTCCTCTTCTTCCTTCCATGTAGACGACCTTCTGTGACTCAGATCATCAAGCCATCGATCATCATGCCACAATAAGTGTCCAAGCCATTTCTTCTGTCTCTCTCTGATCGTTTGAATGAACACCCGCTTTTCTTGAGCTCGATGCAACACCTCTTCATTCGAAGACAATTTGATACAATATTCTACCATATTTCATTGACGCTTTAAAGCCCCACTGTCCTACTTGTAGCTACTTGCTCCCTCTATATGGAAAACTTCCCCAATCGTTGCCTGTTGGTCCCCCATGATCCTCTTTTTCTTATGTTACTTGAGAGCTGAGTTAATGAGATAGCCACCTGTCAGTGACCTCGCTGTGTGGTCTAATCCCTTCTGGCCCAGTAGTATTGACGGTCTTGAAATGAAAATTCTGAACAATAACAAATCTTTTCTATTGCTTAGTGCAGTTGCGATTGTTCTTAACAAAAGTTTGATGCTATCTGTAGGTCAGTCCAATACCAATGCTTGACTCATATAGAGGCTTTTGTTTTTCTCAATCTTCAGGCCCGAGTATCGTGTCGCAGTTTCAGGAACACGACACGAAAGCGGATATATAAAGTTTTCGTTGAGCCCTATTGTTATGATGCTCTTGTGACTGATGTAGAGACTGGGACGAAAGTGATGATACAAGATGGTCTTACCAGGGAATATGCTTTACAGGAAGCCATCAAAGCATTGATTAAATGGCTGATATCTTCAGGGCACATGACAGGTGAAAATCCCATTTCTTTCTTGTACTAGAAAAAAAAACGCAGTTATTAACTAGCCTGAGTTACAGTGGAGCTGTGAAACAAATTTAGTTAAATATGAAATACAAACACTAATGATTTAAAACAATACAAACAATTAAATATAAGCATGATGTAAGTATGATGAATGGGGTTAGAAGCGCTCAAAATACACGGGGGCGGTGGGTGATTCGCCCCCGTGAGCTCCATAATCGCCCCCCGTCAGGTTGCTCACGGGGGCGATTGCAAAATTAAAAATCGCCCCCGTGGAATTATAAAATTAAGATTATCTTTTCTGATATAACTTTAACACAATATTGAGTATTAATTGTCAAACCTTAAACCAATGAAATGGAACTTAGATGGCGCTTTCTCTACCATCTCTACGAGTATTCCCGATACAAACAACGGAAGCTCGCGGTGCGGCCGTCAGCACAGTGGCTATACTGCGCAGGTGGTACCGGTGTGCACGCTGACGCCCAATATCTGCTGGAGCTGGAGATCGACAATGATCGCGCAAGGACTGAAACATGGAGAAGTTTTTCGTTGTGAAAGTTTGAATCCTCTGAAATCTGGTGATTCTTAAAGACCAGCAAATAAATGTAACCCGACCAGTAAATCAATATTGAGAAGAAGAAGAAGGCATAAGATGTTGCAGGGGCGGATCTAGGCGGTTAAGGTAGTTTAACCCCCCCCCCCCCTCCCCCTTGGGCTGCCAAGGAAAAATGTGATGTGCACAGAAAAATGCTATCATGTGTCCAGATCTACACAGTATTAGTAGATGTTAGTAGATGCCAGGAAAACACCACTTACGGGGGTTCAAAATAGCAACAACAAAAATCGCCTCGCCGCTACGCGGCTCGTGGACGATGCTCCACATCGTATTTGGGGTATCCCCCCCACCCTTAGCAAAAAGCTTGATCCGCCCCTGTGTTTTGAAAGGATATGGTAAAGACTAAAAGTAAAGAAAGAATGTAAATAAGGTTGCTCCGAATAATGAGGAGGAAATTATGTGCAGAACGGGAAGAAATGGAGAAAATGTCCTCACGGGGATAAAAGTCAATAACAGCTATGTAACAAGTAAATTTCTAAGAGGAAAAATACCGACTTAGATAAATGATAATGATAAAATACCAAGGAGTTTCACGGGTACCAATTCAATGGAAATTTGAATTAAAATAAGAGCCCCGTCAGCACTAAAAGCGCCCCCATGAGAAGGCTCACGGGGGCTCTTTTTTTTTGGAAGAGCCCCCGTGGGCAAAAAATTAATTTGAGCCCTGGTTAGAAGGGAGCAAAACTGCAGTAAAAATATACTCTGAATGAGATGGTATATAAAACGTGAAATATATTAAAACAAAACACATTCGATCGTTCTAATATGATATATAGTATACCCAAGCGTTGAGTTTCTGGACAGGTTGTGTATCCGGGCAGTTGATTAAAACAGCAATTTGAAGAAGTTTAAAACCAATGTGACATAAATCTTCTTTAAAACAAAGTTGGACAATATCATAAAGGACAAACATTCATGATGGTTAGAGCTATTGGATGAGTATTTTCCCTTAAATCCGAAGGCAAAAGATTAGTTGTTATGTTTGTTACAGGGATTGGGTATCTTTTCCTCTGATTCTACACAAAATCCCGGCTTTAGCTCATGCTGCAATCATAATTATAAACTTTAGGTCGGTCAGGAATCCCATGACGTTTACAAGCCGATCGCCTGTCTGCATGATTATCAAGATATTTGTGATCGGAATTCGAAATGTCAAAAACCGTTTTCCCAACGATTTTTATAACGCTACAGTCTATTGGGAAAAACGAGTATGGTAAAACCGGTCACTCAAAGATTTTTTTACTTTTTTGAGGCACATCATGGTCATTTTGAAGCGCAATTTGTTTAGGGCCTCAATATTGCACCAGATCACAGACACTGATATAACGTCGTGTCATGCATCTCAACTGGAAACATTGTTATACAATGCCTTTAAGTGTCCGGTTACCCCCCCCCCCCCCCCCCACATCTTATTTATAAAACACCGACGAAGAACGTATAACTTGATAAGCTAGTTCTTTTTTCCTGATCCTCTTCAGAGTCCACTTCCTGTTTGGTGCCAGCTTATTCCTCCCCACTCGTGCTAATCCAAGGTAGTTGTCCTCCGGGAACAGGTATCAAGTGTGATACCGTATGCGAGTTTGCCTGCAGTGGTGCTAGCTATACCATGGTTGGAAATCCTACCATTAAATGCAAGCCAAATACGACTCTCTCCGATGTCTTCCCTCGTTGCCAAGGTAAGTTTACAAGCTTGTCATGGTGATACGGCTTACTTCGAATCATCGGATCATCGCGTTCGGTCGGGTGGTCGGGTTACACGACCTTTCGTGAAACGAGAGCGGAATATCGTGGAAAGATACACGATGAGGACTAGACCCTTCCTAGATTTGCCGTAGGGTTAGTGTCGAGTAAATTGGACCTGACGATTTGTAGATGAGAGGGGTTAATTTCACACACATTAGCCACACCCTCCCCCCGTTCGCCATTTCATGAATACAAAGGGGCATTTATTAACAAAAGGGAGGGTAACGCAACCACCCGACCCTACGCGATGACCTGATGATTCGAAGTAAGCCGAAAGATACAGGGCCTTTTATGCCTGTCTTGAATGAGGCAAGATGGCTCTGTGGTAGAGCAATGGTCTTGAAGGATCCAGATTCGAAACCAAGAGAATGATCTATTGCCAAGTCCCTTTCAGAGGACCTGAAACCGTTAGTCTCCTGGATTCGTACAAGCATGCACAAGATCTATATCAGCCAGGTGGAATATACCATCAAACCAAACAGCAAACTTTAATTCACGCAGTCTATATTTCAACCAATGTCTTGTGATGAAATACGAAAATATTTGGTTTCTTGATGTTGTTGATTTACAAAGCTGACCAATGAACTTCTCCACAAGAGAATTTCATAATTATCCTAGTCATGTTGTACTCTTGTGGAAAAGTGCTTTTATGTGATATCTTCTTACGCAGCATTGTGCCTTTCGACATAATAATTATTTTGATTTCAATTGGATTTAGGGCCTTACGAATCTTAATTTTTTATCGTTATCATTATTGTTTTCTGCGAATTATATTTTTTAGTTAAACTATCGCTGGGGATGAAAGTCAGATATCTTACATTGCCACTTATGGATTACTTGATAGTTCAAGGCTAGTCAATATTTTTTTCTAGACTTTGTTTAAACATAAACGACGCGATGAGCCGAATGTCACATTGATTCATTCCATTTTGATGGGTTTTAACTGATTTAATCGTCTTCGATTATCTTATTACACAGCAAAGAAACTACCAACCACGACTACTAAAACAGCATCTTCGACAAAGCATGTGCCTGATACGACGACTACTTCACCACCCTCGACAACAAAGAAAAGTCCGTCCACAAAGAGGATGAATTCTTCCACAACGGAGAATGCTCTCACAACGGGAAATCAGACGACAGCGCAAAGTCCTCCAACGACAAAGAATCCTTTGACACTGGAGGGTTCATCGACAAAGAAGGGTTCTGGGACCAGTGAGGGTCCTACCACCAAGGACAACCCTACCACAAAGATAAGACCTAGTCCTACCACACCAAGGAGACCTATAACACTGAGTCATTCCACTCCGAAGACAGTGCCTTCTACTTCCGCTCTTCCTCAAACATCACGTAGTAAGTCCCACAGCTAAATAGTTTGTGTATGGAAGGAGTCGAGACAGCGGAAGTCGCTCCTGATTGGTCAGTAATTTCATGGAGATCCAAATGGCTCCCTCACATAGAGATGGCACACGAGCGGTATTTGTTTAGACTAATCAGATTGCAAGATTCTTAGTATGCGGGATATAATAAATCATTCCACATACTAAGGATCTTGCTCTACGATCAAGGTCAAAAGTAAATCACGTGATGAAAGATAGTTCTCCCTTCATTGATGTGAGAAGAAAAGTTCGTAGCACTGTGTAGATAGTAGTACTATCTACACAGTGCAACGCACTTTCACTGAAGATAGAAGTACTATCTACACAGTGCAACGCACTTTAATTGTATACGCTGCGTATTGCTCTCCTCTTTAAGTGCTTTTAGTGTTAGTACGCGAACTTTGGTAACGCGCGAACTAAATGGTCACACCACCATACTGCATGCACTGTACGTATCGTACACCGTTTGCTAGCTGTTAATTGATGACTTCTTGCTCTAAAATGACGGAAGAAGTGAAATGTTTCCGATGTGGATTATAAAGCAAATAATCACCTTTTGGTTTCAGGCGATGGCGATCTGAATGTATACGCTATCTTTCCTCAGCTTCGCTTCGGAAAGATAGCTACATCCAGATCGTCGGAAGTGATAGTTAAACCTTTGTCCCATCACCTTCACCAACGGTAGTTATTTGCTTAATATATTGTCTTTAACATCAGTATCGATAGTACAATATGCATTGCTATCAGTCATTAGATAATGATTGTTATTTTTTATGTTACAGCATTCAGGAAGTTTGGATTTATTGGCATCTTAGGCGTTCCCCTACTCCTTCTGCCAGTAATTTACATCATCTATAAATTACGTCACAGACATGACAAACAACAGGTATTTGTATAAAGGCATGCATATAGCTAGAGAGAGAGAGAGAGAGACAGACATAGACAAAGCGAGAGAGAGACAGACAGAGAGAGAGACAGAGACAGAGAGAGACAGAGATAATTTCTGTTTATGTTTTTATTTGTTTTGTTTTGCTTTGCTTTAATCTACAAAACTTGCTCAGCGTAAAAAATAACCAAACACTAATCGAATTCTTAACTTCAGCCCTGGACCAAACACTACCTAACTATATGTATACCTAACTCTAACCATAAACCTTACCACAAACCCAATTGTAATCCTAACCCTAAACAGTATGGTATACCTTTGAAGAAATTTAGCCTGGTGCACATTTCGGGTATTCCAATACCAGAAGTTGAATTTATTCTTAGGAAATTTCAAAATACTGATTTAAAAAATTGGGAATCAGACACATTTTTTTCTCTTTAGAAATTGCCAAGAAATACTCAATGAATTGAAATATTTTCTCATACCTTTACGTCTGGGACTTCTGGTTTGGTTGACTTAAAAAAAAATCTGTGTATTACTTCATTTCAATCATTCATAATTATTCAACCTACGATTTCTAAGAAGTATACTTAAAAGTTTTTTAATCAATACACTTTTCACTTTCTTACAGTACCGTGTTCTTGATGAAAACACAGTTGAAGACGATATTGTTGGTATGTAGCGGTTTCTTCCGGGGCCCCGTCTTATAAACAGTTGCGATTAATCGCACCTTATTTGCGATTGATAGCAATCGCAACTAAGTACATTAGAGATAGGAGACTGCAAACTTGCGATTGATTGAAGGACTTGCGATTGATTCGGATCAATCACAACTCTTTATAAGATGGGGCCATATTTGCATTGCTATCTTAATGGAATGATGGAATGATGATGGTTATTTTACCTGACTGCTAAGAAAGCATAAATGCTTGTAAGTAATAATATTATGTGGTACCATTAACGTATTTAAAAACAAATGCCTACTGGTATGAGGTAAATAAGGTCGAATTCGTACTTTGGAACTTGCATCTTGTTTTCCTGATTGAATAATGTTCTTTAATTTCGTACACAACACTCGTATTTCATCTATTTATTTGCCATAATTTTTCTATCGGACTGAAAGCACAGGTCCAACATTATAGTTTCCACCTATTTTGAAATTTCCTCATTTACTGACATTCTAAAATATACAATCTCTCTCTCTCTCTCTCTCTCTCTCTCTCACTCTCTCTCTCTCTCTCTCTCTCTCACTCTTTCTCTCTCTCTCTCTCTCTCCCTCTCTCTTTCTCTTTCTCTCTTTCTCTATCTCTTCATACAGATATTCCTCCTGATGCTGATGGGTTGTATAAAGACATGCACATCTCTCCAGCCCTTCCAACCGATCAACAACTCAACCGGGAAGAGGTTAGTCCACTACACAATTAGTTCTAGATATTATTTTTTCCTGCGGGGGGGGGGGGGGGGGGGGGGGGAGTCGGATGCATTGGAGGGCTGGTTGGGTGTTGATGCATTGATTTTTATAAACGTGTCTAACGAATATTACGAGTTGGAAAAAGAAAACGAAACAAAAATAATAAATAATTTTATATAATACATTAATACATTAAATATATATATATATATATATATATATATATATATATATATATATATATATGTTTGTTTTTCTCGCTCCTTGTTCACTAGCGTATTTGGCAAGTGGGGGGGAAGTTTACCCCTTCTGATAGATGTCCGACAAAGAAAGATAATATATCGTAACGAATATTATAACTCTTATTTCTTTCAGTGTTACCCGATGGATCAGCGCAATAAGGGTCTGGTCTTCATTTTGAACAACTACCGTTTTGGTCCTGATCGAACGACTGAAAGAACTGGGTCTGATGTTGACTTAGCCAATGTGAAACATGTCTTCACCGAGATTGGCTATACGGCAGACGAATCTCAAAATCTCACTGCTCAGGTAAGAATTTTTTATATACCTATACGGAATAATAACAATAATGATAAACCGTGCTTATATAGATACAGCGACGATGTGTCCAGGCGCTTTACAGACATAATTATTATCTAAAAATACCACAAAATTTGTCAGAAGGCACAATTAAGAAAGAGCTGTCGGCCTCTCGGACCATCAGTCGCGGAGGCTGTAGCTGCTATTCCAGTGCACAAACACACACCGACACGCACCCCCACACATCCACATCCACACGCACACCCATGCACACACACGCACACATACACACTGCAGGCACACACACACACACAGAGACATCGTACCTGCTATCCCTGAACACAAACACACCCTTGCACCCGCACACTCACTTTTTTTAATTTTTTTTAAAAACAATTTTGTTTTATTTCTCCAGATGTGTAATACAAACCATGACATACAATTGAATAAAATAAACGTGTTCAATATTGATGCTTTGACATAAACATAATTAAACACAAACTTATTTGCAGTATAATATAACTTGGCAACAAAGTAAACGTATAAGTACCTAAACATAATATGTCAATTGTAAATGTTATTTACTTATATATTACAACAAAAAAAACTTAAACAAATCTGGAGGTAATTTTACTGAAACAATCCTGCCCCTTCCCTGCCCCCTCCATCACACAAACATACTCACCCTCTATCACACAAACATACTCACCCACCCACACACATACTCACCCACCCACCCACCCACCCCCCCCCCCCACACACACACAGTACTCACTCAGTGGATGTCTGCCAACATTCTCAACTCAAGAAAAATATACTAAATAAGTTATCCAGGTCGCAAAATCGAGTTACGCTTTTAACAGGCTCACGGTGGAGAAGAAAGCAAATCTTAATTAATCTTAAGCTGCTCCCACTTTAAGAAATGTGATCCTAGCTTTCCCATTTTAATTGCTATTTTCTTTTCCTCATCCCTATACTTAAAAATGCTTTTTTTCATCTTTTCTAAAGTTAGTACTCGCCCCCCCCCCCCGATCTTGACATAAATATTACATACTTCACCATGAAAATGATGGTATTACACATCCGCACCCACACCGAAACGCACACACGCGCACACAAACAGTCACACACACACTGCACGCACACGCGCACAGATCCATCTCCATGCATTCTCAAAGCATTTATATTGTTCACCCTTATCCACTTTATAGGGGATCAGACAGAAGCTGAAGAGCTTAACCCGGAAGATCTTAACTTCTCATACTTCGGTGGTCCTAGTCTTCATGAGTCACGGAAAGAAGGAAGGTATCCAAGGTACCGATGAGGGGGTTGTGACCGTTGAGGAAATCAAGGATATGTTCTCTGGGAACAACTGCCCAGCCCTTATTGGGAAACCAAAGATCATGATCTTCCAGGCTTGCCGAGGAGGTTTGTTTGTTCATGTGTTTTATTATTTCAAGACGGTAATAAAAGACCTGCTTTCAGCTGCAAGGCTGTTTTTCAAAATGTTTCAAATTATTTAAAAGACGGCACAGTCAAATCGTTCACACATACATTATTTCTTGTATTTATCACTTCTACTGACTGCACCGCTCGAATACAACGGTTCACCGATAACATCCAATGCAGAGGTTAAAGAGTTGTTTGACAAGAAGTTGGAATTTCTTTTCTTCTATTTGTTTTCAGAAAAAATAACGCCGAGTGCTCCATCTCTCTCCACCTCCGCAGTGGATAATGAAATATGTGCAGACTTTGTCGGGACTGACGGGGGAGCAGGGGATGGAGGGGCTACCATGGTAACAGGAGGTGAAGCGTGTTCCACATCACCTGGTAGAGCTGGAGGAGGAGGAGTAGGAGAAGTGGAAATCGACTGCAGTGTAGCGGATAATGCTGATATGTTCATTGCTCAATCCACGTCGGAAGGTATGGGGAGAAATAATGATGGGGGAGAGTGAGAGAGAGAGAGAGAGAGAGAGAGAGAGAGAGAGAGAGAGAGAGAGAGCGAGAGAGAGAGAGAGAGAGTGATAGGAAGAGAGAGAGAGAGAGAGAAAAATAAAGAGAGTAGAGAAAAGAGAGAAAAATAGAGAGAGAAAGAGAGAGAGAGAGAGGGGGGGGGGAGGCTGAAGATCATTGTTGTAGGCCTACACTTACGTTGGTTATACTCTCATTGACAAGCTATTTCTCACTACGGAGCAGACAGAACGGATCTTGGTTCATCCAGGCCCTCTGTGAAGAGCTGATCGCCAGTGCCCACGACCACCATCTCGATGACATCATGACAAAGGTTACACGTCTTTCAGTACATCATTTTCTTTTCGATTTTTTTTTTGTATAGATGTGCAGTACGCGGCGTAGCTACATGGGGGCACAGGGGAAAATTTCCCATCGAGAATGAATGAATAATAAATTAATGCGATTTTAAGTTCTTGTTCCGAACATCCCCGATGCCCCATCCCCCCCCCCCCCCTCACGTAATTCATTATGTTGCCCAATCAGAGGAGGTGTGGTACATGGTTGATTCACTGGACACTCGATCCAAGGGTTGAGAGTCGAATCTTGGCACTAACGTCTTCGGGCAAAACATTACTCCACATTTGCCACTTTTCCCAGGTGTATAGACCTATCTGGCTGTTTCTGGGGGTAAAAACAATTGCAGGGCCCTCAGGTAGAACAGCATTGGTGCTGATGAGACCTGATGGATCAGCTAGAAAAGAAAAAAATAAGAAGAATAGAACGGTATTCAGCCAATTTTTTCTTCTTTTATTCTATTTTTTTCTTCGCTATCTTTTACTTCTTCTTCTTTGTCATCATCATCATCATCATCTTCATATCCTTCTTCTTCTTCTTCTTCTTCTTCTTTTTCTTCTTCTTCTTCTTTTTTTTCTTCTTCTTCTTCTTCTTCTTCTTCGTCATCATTATCATCATCTTCATCTTCCTTTTGTTTTTCTTCATCTTCTTCTTCTTCTTCTTCTTCTTCTTCTTCTTCTTCTTCATTTTCGTCTTATTATCCTTCTTTTTCTTCTCCTTCTTCTTCTTCATCTTCATTTTCTTCTCCTTCTTTGTCATCATCATCATCCTCATCTCCTTCTACTTCTTCTTTTTCTTAATTTTCATCTTCTTCTTCTTCTTCTTCTTCTTCTTCTTCTTCTTCTTCTTCTTCTTCTTCTTCTTCTTCTTCTTCTTCTTCCCCCTCCTTGTTTCTTCCTCTGAAGGAAGTGGGGTGGGTTCTTGTGTCCACTTGATAGAGAATTCTAGATCCGCCTCCAATCCCCACTCTCTCTTGTGATACGACATCCAATCATAACTTTATATCTTTAAGAGCTATCTGATATACAGTCAAACTCTGTGTAGCAACCGCCCAAGAGAAACACAAAAAGGTGCCTTTGTAGACATGTTCCTTTGGTATATGTTTCAATGAGAAACCATTTTCAAGGGAAACGATAAATATGGCCTTTTGAAGACAGGTGGTTTCTAAAGCAGGTTTGACTGTATATATATTTTTCTTCTCGTAATCATTCATGCATTTAGGTAACGGACAGAGTGAAGCGCCAAGAGGGATATATGGTCTACCAGCGACGACGACAGCTAACCCTGCAGACCCCGCAGATTATCAAGCAAGGGATAGGAAAGAAGATCTTCTTCCTACCAAAATACCCGCCGCCAGCGGGATATTGAGCACTGGCATTCAAAGGCGGCGGAGCATTGCCCCCCCCCCCCCATGTTTCAAGTTTCCCTAAAGTAATCCGTTTTACATGATGTGTTTTTGTTTTTGTTGTAATGGTAATCAGTCAAGAACTGACTATTATCACCATAGTGTAAGTGTGTGTAGGGTTTTTGTGTGCCCCCATTTATGCAGCCACTATACATATTTTTACCAAAATTGTTTGGTATATTTTTGTTTTTTGTAATTTTGAATATTCAGTGTACGTTTCGTTGGATTCTGTGAGAATTTATTATTTATATTTACCAGAACTCAAGTTTTTCTTATATAGTGATAAATGCAAGAGTCGTAGTATATATCAATCTGAAATTAGATAATTATGTTACCAATGGTGAATTGTTATAGATTGGTGAATTGTTCTGAGATGGTTGTATACAACGCATGCTCCTGCGACGTTACTGCTGATCGCTAGTTTCTGAACCTAAATAAAAATGTCTTTCTTTTGAAGTTTGTAAATACGTTGAACAAAAACTTCTCCTGCTTATTGTGAATTAAGAAGATCTAATTTTCACCACCAAACAGATAGGTTTCTTTAGCGATTTGCAAATACATTGTATTCTCATAGAACATATTCGTAATGTTATTACATTTAATGCAAACATCTTTGTTAAAAATAAAGTTGAATTCTGGTCATGTAATTGCATAGTAAAAGAAACGTTTTAGAATCGTTCAGAAAAGGTTGATCATTTAGCATATAAGTATTGGTTTGTAGGCGGCAGGCCTACTGCAAGGTTCTGGAATCATTAAAATGAAAAGAAATTTGGCCTAGTCTTGGTAAAGTTACAAGCACTCAAGATGTGTATGGGACTACACGAACATGTGGCATAAGAATCCGTTCCGATTTTTATTGATTTTATACATAATAGGCCTACATGCTTTATTTAGGATATTAAGGCATTTGAAGAGCCATGCTTTTCAGGGAACATTTTTCATCTGATGTTATTCCATGCTTGCATAATACAAAGATAACGCTCACAAATTATTTTTCACCTCTTCCCAGAACTCAACTTTCTCATGTTACATATTATTGCATTCACTTGTTATATATCAATATTCAGAATGCGAATTGCATACATACAACATAATGTTGTAGTCATGACTTATTATTTCATCGACTGTTTGTATAAGCCCCTACTCCAAGAAATACATCGTTTTTTTAAAGACATTCTTGCTCTTTATTACAATTAAAGCATTACTTTTTATATCTATTTCATGAATATATATATCGAAAAATGTATTGGTAAAATGTCTTTAGAGAGAGAGAGAGAGAGTGAGAGAGAGGATAGAGAGAGAGAGAGAGAGAGAAAGAGAGAGGGAGAGAGAGAGAGAGAGAGGGGAGAGAAAGAGAGAGAGGGAGAGAGAGAGAGAGAGAGAGAGAGAGAGAGAGAGAGAGAGAGAGAGAGAGAGAGAGAGAGAGAGAGAGAGAGAGTGAGAGTGAGAGAGAGGGAGAGGCCGTGCAGAGAAAGGTTTTTAGCTCAGAGATCAGCACAGCAAGACAGTTCTCGTAACGTGTATTTCGCAAAGAACTGTATAGCGCCACCTATAATGAACGTAGGACACTCCATTTTATTGCATTTTGAAATTTATCTCTTTCGTCCTTCTTTATTATTTCTTTCTTTCGTTTAATATTTATAACTCTCTTTCTTTTTGTCTACTTTCCATCTCCATTTTTAAAATTTATTTTTTCCTTCGAATCCTTCTATCCTTCTTTCCTTTCTTCCTGTTATAATACGATTTTTCCGATATTCTCCTAACTCGACGTAGTTATTGTAGAATAATCCATAAAATTTCCAATAAATGCATACTACTATTTTCGGGGGGGGGGGGACAACATCTGACAATGAATTTTTAAAACAAAATGAAGAAAAAAAGGGGAGAGAAAAATTGTCTTTCGTTCTTCTTTAATTTTTCTTTCTTTCGTTATTTTTTAATCTATTTCTTCCTTCGATTCCTACATCCTTGAATACCTTGAATACCTTGAATACCAAAGTTTCTGGAAGAAAGCCGTCTCCAGCTGCCAAGCTTCCAGGTCTAACTTCAAGGGGGAGGGGGGGGGGGGGGGTGTCCCAGCTTCCGGGTCTTGCACCATAGTCATTTTACATCTGTATCTTGCTTGCTGGGTCATATCAGGATTGTCATAATACGATGTTTCCGCTATTCTCTTAACTTGACGTTGCTAACTGTTTTATTTGTAAAATTATGTATAATCATTGTAGAATAATCCATGAAATTTCCAAAAAATGCATAATACTATTTCCCGGGGGGGGGGGGGAGGGGCGGCGGTGGGGGAGGACAACATCTGACAATGAATAAAAAGGAAAGAAAGTTTGTAGGCGAAGACAGAGAGCTGATCAATACCGCCATACCATTAAACCCCTCTCCTCTGAACGCACCACTGGTAATCAGATCCACTTCTGGTGCGGATTAGGCCTTTAAAAGAACCATTTCCATTTTCAATTGAGATTTGTAAATTTGAGATCAGCTATGTGTAATCTCCTAAAGTGGTGGGGTTTAGGAGTAATTGCAGCTCATTCTTCGCTGAAGAAAAGCTGATGTTCCTCATATAAAAGTGTTACAATGGCCTACAAATCCCCTTTCAATATTTTCAAGTTGAATTTGGCCGCTTTATAGTTAGAAAAGTAAGCCTGAGGTTGACAAATTGGTTACTGATTTGGTCAAACAACATGAACTGTGATTAGAAAGATAATGTGAGAGACTCAAATAGAGAGCGAGAGGGACAGGGAGAGAAATGTGGAGAGAGAGAGAGAGAGAGAGGGAGGGAGAGAGAGAGAGAGAGAGAGAGAGAGAGAGAGAGGGAGAGAGAGAGAGAGAGAGAGAGAAAGAGAGATCGAGAGAGAGAGAGGGAGAGGGAGAGAGAGATCGAGAGAGAGAGAGAGAGAGGGAGAGAGAGAGAGAGAGAGAGAGAGAGGAGAGAGAGAGAGAGAGAGAGAGAGAAAGAGAGATCGAGAGAGAGAGAGAGGGAGAGGGAGAGAGAGAGAGAGAGAGAGAGAGAGAGAGAGAGAGTGTGGGGCACATGTCTGTGAGAATACAAGGTAGAAAGATGGAGAGAGAGAACAAATTGTGTATAAGAAAAGGGAGCGAGAAGAATGTAAAGTTGGAGTAAATGAAAAGAGGAGAGAAATGAGAAGAAGAAGGAAAGAGAAAGAAAAAGAACAAAAAAAATAAATATAGATAAAAAGAGATGAAAATAAATAAATAAATAAATGAGTGAGGAGGGAAGTAGAGAGAGGGGAGGAGAAGAATTTATTTGGTATCAAAGAGAGAAAGCATCACTGGTAGCAAGAAAGGATGAATGTGAGAAAGGAAAATATGGAGAAGAATATTGGAGACGGAGGAGGAGCAGTAGGATCAGAAGAAGAATAAGATAAAGAAGATGGAGAAGAAGAAGAAGAAAAAGAAGAAGAGGAAGAAGAAGAAGAAGAAGAAGAAGAAGAAGAAGAAGAAGAAGAAGAAGAAGAAGAAGAAAAAGAAGAAGAAGAAGAAAAAAAAGAAGAAGAAGAAGAAGAAGAAGAAGAAGAAGAAGAAGGAAATGAAAAACAAAAGAGAGAGGGAGATGCGTGAATTGAGGAGAGACAGAAAGGAAAGAAAAAGAAAAGGATAATAGAGGGGGGAGAGAGAGAGAGAATATTATCAGAATGTTGTCCCTCCCATGTCAGGTGATGTCGTGAATAAGGCATTGTAAAGAGGAACAGCAATCAGTTGGAGGTTTGAGCTTTCGATCCACAATTTAAAAAAACATCTGCATGCCATTATCGACAATAATCGCTAATTTCCTTTTCTTATATAGTGACACTTCTGTAGCAAGACCAAGGAAGAAAAAAAGCAAAGCGGGGGGGGGGGGGGGGGGGGGGTTGCGGAAGCACCTTCAAGATGAGTTTCCTTTTTTTGGGGGGGGGGGGGGAGGGCTTCTTTGCAATGTCTACTATAAACTTTTTTTAATTTATCTGATTATATTTTATTGTCTAACACATTGTACCATAGTTTGTCATCAGGTTAAATTTGAATTGAATTCTAATTGATTTGTTTCTTTAATAGTCGTTTGAGAAATTCATTTCAGTGTAATGATAAAAAAGAAACTCATGATTTGCTAAAAATTAATTGTGAGCCCATCACGGACTCATTAATTATTACTTTGGGCAGACATTCCCAACTCGATTAGGTGATTTCTGGAACTTTTTTGTTTTAAAGTTGGGGGGGGGGGGGTATCAAAAGAAGTGGAAATAACACAAGAAGAAGGTCAGAAATTTAACTTTTACTCTGATTATCTCCCTTTGGAAGCGGGTCACCATTTTAATTGACGACAAATCTTCGTTGATGTTGTTGAGACTGCCAGCTATTAGATACATCCCCATCTCCGTCTCCACCCCGTCACCTGACACCGACTCTATATCACGTGACAAACAAAATCTTCCCGAATCAGACTTGGCACATTATAACGATAGATCGATCGCTTTCACCACCCTCCTAACATCTCGTCGCCATAGCAACGCATCACGGATGTAATATTCTTAGAGCAGACAGACAGACAGAGACGGAGGGTATATAGCGAGCATCACGCTTCGCTTGATCTGGCTTGCTCCAGAGAGAGAGAGAGGTCGCGCGGGAGAGGTTCGGAAAGAGACAAACACTCATCAGGTATGGAACCGGGGGCGTGTGGGGGCTGTAGCCCACCCCAACCCCAACCTCGCAACGTAACCTTTCGGTTTATTCCACATTTGTTAACATGCGGTTTTTTGGGGTGTAGGCTGCTCTATATAGTATGCATAGATTTAGTTTTCCTAAATGTGAAATCTTGCTCGATCGGTCGCTCCGCCCCCTCACACAATGCGGGACACAATACAACAACCTGTAAAGCACTGCCGTATTCGGTAAAGCGACTCGTTATAAGTACATGTATGATTAAAACACAGGAACAGACTTGATTGTTTGAAAT